TTAGACGAATAAAATCATTGATCCTATTAGTCGCGCTGACCTGTCCGCCATTTAGCAGAATCGAATATGAGTGTTAGGATCAGACAAAGAAAACTCGTGATTTAAGATATTCGCGCTGACCTTTCGCCAAATTAATAATCTATTGCGAATATTGAAAGTAGACGAATTAAAACTCGTGATTTAATTATTCGCGCTGACCTTTCGCCCGTATAGTAATTTATTGCGAATATTGAAAGTAGACGAATTAAAACTCGTGATTTAATTATTTGCGCTGACCATTCCATCATTTTTGTCAATCAAAGACCAACCGGAATAATATTAGTATTTCGATTATTTCGTGTTCTTGCTATTTCATAATTATGCAGAGTCATACTGACCCTAATCAATCCGACCACTTGCTTATGAATTAATAAATAAGTCAATAAAAGTGATTAATTGTTCTTTATATAAAATTTACTTTTGTTACCCTGCCTCATTTACATGCTCATGATTTTCAGCCGCGAGCGTTTATAATCGGGTAACGCTGATTCGCTATATTTTCGGGCCCCACGATAGGTAACATACGCGCGAATTCGAACGGACTTTCAACCTGAAATAAGGAGTCATCATCTGAGCTGCCGGCATATCATAAGCGAGGAGACAAACAGGAAACGAATTGATAGACACCGAGGCCTGGAGAAGAGGAAATCGCGAGTACTCACCCGTTTGCCCACCCGGAGCAGTCGCCGTGAAGGCAAACCGGGATATGCGACGACCGTTAGGCCCTAACCCCGACGATCGCCCTAGTCAAACGGCGGTCTGGAGCCCTAAATAATCGGGGATAAGGAGTGACCCGGGCCTTGTGGCGGAAGAGATTCGGTAGCGCGGTTAAGGCCCCCGAAATCCCCTGCCACAACATGATAAAAAAAAAGAAATTTATAGATTTCTTTAATGAGTGCTTTGATGCTCATACAAACTTGCACCAATGAGAAAAGAAGCGAGAAAGAAAGAGAACGCAAGAGAGAGGAAGAACGAAAAAAAGAGGAGAGAGATCATAAACCAAATAAATTTGACGCACTTTCTACAGCGTAAACTAGTTTAGAAGCCGAGAAGGGTTTCATTGCCGATGGGCATAACAGCTTCACCATAATAAAAAATATATATTTTTTACTTTTATTTAAATTATATTCAAATTTATACTAGATAATTGTATGTTATTTATTAATTTTTTTTCATTTGCTGCAATACGATGAGTACCAGTGTCATTTTTCTATAAAAATATTTTAACTAACGATTCTTCCATAACTCCATCTGAAAGTCAAAACCATCGTTAATGAAGAAAAATCGTAGAACAAATATCCATAGTTAGCGATGATCAAATTTGCTAAATATGCTTCGCTAAGGAACTTAGAAAAATTTTTCTACCCTGTGGACACATCGCAACATGCTCTATATATGCGATCAGATTAAGGTCTTGTCCTATTTTATTATATTTTATTACATCTTATCCTTTTTATTATAAAAGTAAAAAATTACAATAGTCCTACGTAAAAAAATATTCACATTTTAAATTATAAAAACTAGAACTAGAAGAATTAGAGGAACTTGAAGAGCTTATTACAATTCTTTTTGGAGAAGTTTTTGGTGGGAATTTATTTTTTTACGGAGGAGGTGATTTATCAGAACTCATGGTACTGATAATCGATTTCGAACGACGAGTATGTTTTCGCTGTCTGATTTTCGATCGCGATTTACGAGTAGACGTCGCGCTCTGCATGAATCAGTTGCCGTTACAAAAAGAGCACGATTTATTCACTACAGCTCATTTACCGTCTACAACAGCATCAGACACATCAAGAATTCATTAAGTAACAGCATTCAAAGCCTGCTAGCGTGAATATCTTAGTAAACCGTACAATGTAGATGATTCTACGGTTCAAACAGCGATGGATTATGTACAGTCACTCATTAACGAAGGTGCGGAGCTGATACATTTTTCTATCATTTTCAACCTATCAACGAATGATCTCAAAATAATTGAATATTCTATAGCCTTATTGAAAGGTATTTTGTACATGACAAAGGATAAGAAAACGAACAACTTATCTGAATATTTAATGGGCCTTTGTCATAAATTTACTCAGGAAGATATTTTTAGTTCTAGTACTGATAGGTTTGCTACAATAGTAGTGATCAATGTTAGTCAATCCATACTAAACGTTCATGTACAATATGTTGCCGAATGTGTTGGCACCACCACTGACAATTATCTCTGAAATGAATTCGATATGGATGTATATTTTATATTCACAGTTTTATATCTACATCGTGAATATATTGATTTCGATTCAAAATTCAAAATTAATCTTTCCAAAGTGAAAATTATTCCTGTTTACTCGGCTTACACATATAGAAGATGGTTCCGCGTAAAGTGCTAAAACCTCTGAAAACCAAGATTGAAAATTATCAAAAACAGAATCCAGATTACTTTCTTGGCTGTGTAACTAACGTAATTGTCAACTATTATGAATAAGACAACGTAAGGATCAGATCATTCATCAGCCAGTATTCAAATAAAATGGACCGCTACCATTCAGTCAAGTACTTTCGTCTTCTCGAAGAAAATCTAGATGAAAACAAAAACAATCTACATGGAAATAAACCACTTCCAAATTTTTAACCAACAGAAGTCATTGTCCAGGATAAAGAGGCTAGCAATAGTTCGACAATGAAAAGAAGAAATTCAAATGATCATATTACAAAAATTGTCTAAGTATTATAATATAATAGCCATGTATACTTTTTTGATCTAATAAATGTATTTAAAATTGTAAACGTATTCTAAATTTTGTGATTTTGTTGATTTTCCAATAAACCTTATCCCACGGGGCGTGCGCACAAGTACGCCGGTAACTCCGAAAATTTCCACGAGATATACCGACTAGGCATTCCAGTACGCCGTCGATAGCATTAATCATATACAGGGTGTCCTATTTTAAAGGAACCACCCCGAAATTTTCGACGGTTGGCGTTGTACAAAAAAATTGTTCAGACAACAGTTGTTTGCGATAGTGGGGGCAACCTTTCTGTGAAATCCGATTTGACCTTGAAATTTATTTTCAAGGTCATTTGAAGGTTAAAGTCATTTTTGAATAGGAACCCATATTTTTGATCCCGGATTCGGAAAGAGCGGAAGATTCTACGTTTAGATAACGTATTATGTGTGGGGTTCGATTAACCCCCCCTCGCCTAAGGTCATGTAGGGGTCAAATTTATGATTTTCTTCATCTATTCACAGGGATGATCAAGCAAGGATAAGGTTAATTGTAATAACCCAATAACTCCAATACCCAATAACTCGATAACCCAAATAACCCTTTACCCCAATAATTCAATAACCCCAATATCCCAAAAAAAATTATAGGGTCAAACAACAGTGACCTTGAGCTTAAACTTCAGGTTGATTTTCAAAGTCGACTTCATGTATTCAAAGCCGTCATGAAAAGTGTCATTTTCCATTTTGTGAGATAACATGTTATTTCCATTCTTTTTTCTGGTGTGATTCCGGACAAGCCTACAAAGTTCCAACTAAATTGTTTAATAACACTTTTTTAGTATTGTTTATGACAATAGTGATTCGCGAACAGTCCTCCTCAGGATAGTTCAAATGTAATTTTCTTAGTCGACTGAAAAGGAGGGAATATGCCGGATTATTCGAGAAACGAAATTGTTGATATTCTGTTGTCTCTCGGGGCATGCCACGGCCGATATCGTGCTGCGGCAAGGTATTACCCGCAGCACCCGACTGGGTAATCAATACCTTGTCTTCATTGGCTAGGTAATCGATACCTTGCCTTCATTGGCTGGGTAATCGATACCTTGCCTTCACTAGCTGGGAAATCAATACCTTGCCTTCACTGGCTGGGTAATCAATATCATATTAACCTCACCCTTGCCCCGGTGGGATAGGGGGTGAACTGCTCTCCCAACATAATACTTTATCTAAACGTAGAATTTCCCGCTCTTTTCGAATCCGGGATAAAAAATGGGGGTCGTTATTCAAAATATCTCTTGGTCATTGGGTTATTGGGGTTATTGGGGTTATCGAGTTATTGGGTATTGAAGTTATTGGGTTATTACAATTAACCTTACCCTTGCCCGATCATCCCTGTGCATAGATGAAGAAAATCATAAATTTGACCCCTACATAATCTTAGACGGGGGAGGGTGGGGGGTAACCGAACCCCACACATAATATGTTATCTGAACGTAGAATTTTCCGCTCTTTCCGAATCCGGGATCAAAAATATGAGTTCCTATTCAAAAAATGATTTTGACCCTCAAATGACCTTGAAAATAAATCTCAAGGTCAAATCGGATTTCACAGAAATGTTTCCCCCATTGTCCCAAACAACTATTGTCTGAACAATTTTTTTGTACAATGACAACCGTCGAAAATTTTGGGGTGGTTCCTTTAAAATGGGACACCCTCTATTTTTTCAATCTGATTTATCAGTCATCGGGGACATGGGGCCGGGGGCATACATCCACGTTGATATATACAAATCCATCGTCGATAAAAAATCTGCTGATAAAACATCCCATAGGTCATTAACATGGGATTGATAACGTTACCGACTGCTAGTAAAGAAGGAATGAAAACTCGCATGATAAAAGTGGCTTAAAACCCTTCTGGCCCTTACTACTATTAAATGCTGAATCATACTCATTCTCTTAGATGGGTGGAAGTAAAATAGATACGACTGGTTACGTCGAACTCTAAGGAAAGGCTATATTTATTAACTGTTGTATCTCCAACACTAAAACTATCGATCAAGGTATCGGTACACTGAATGCTGCTGTTGCTGCGGCTGTTGCTGAACGAGTGCCACGCTTAATTAGTTTAAAAAAAATTAGGGTACACAGTATCCCATCTGTCTATATTTTAATACTGTACAATTATTCTAAATCTAAAAAAATTTTCAAAACGTACTAACATTTACTTCTAAAATTTTTTACAGATTTAATTTGAAGTGCGTTATCGATAAAGATAAAAGAAATCAATGCCGTTATTGTAGATTGAAAAAATGTTTGAAGGTTGGAATGAAGAAAGAAGGTAAGCATACACTACTTTATGAAATAATGTATAATCATGAAATCGTTTATAATTGTTTACAATAATAATTTTTAAATTTACTAAAATTTTCATGTTTTATTCAGTAATATAATTCATAGATTATGAAAATGGTATACTTATTTAAACCATTGTATTTCCCTTAGTCTAAACTTCACAGATAACTACTAAAAAGAAATGCGTAGATAGTATCACGCGTATTTTTTTTATTCAATAAGCGGTTGATATTTTATATTTTGTTATCAGATTGACTAAATAGTGTGACTTGGGAAGCTAGTTAAATAAAATCGACTGGTAATTAAAATCTGACTAGATAATGAGTAGATGACTAAATTACTTATTCTAATAAGAAATGCCGATACGGCACTTTCTAAAGTTTTTCGGTCAAATGTAATTATTCAATATAAACGCTAATTTTTTTTTTATACGGGCAGGTTTTTTATTTTCTTTTTGCATTGCGAAATCTTTAAAAATATCTTATTTATTGTAATTTTTGACATAAAATTTGAATTTTTGAAGCTTGAGCCTGATATCGTATTCCAAATTTATACTCGGAAAAAAAATTTTATAAAAGTTAAATAACATCTGGAAATATACAAAGTTATCAATAAATATTTGAAAAAAAAATGTCTAAAATGATGATTATAATTTAATAAGTATAGTATTATAAGCGTCCAAGTAAACTATAATGAACGGGTTGTCAATCCCTATTTTGCTCACGCATAGTTTTTATATTCCATATTTTCGAGGATCTTAAGTAGATTATATATATGCGTTGAAAAAAAATCTATATCTGCAGGTCTTGAACCAACAGTCAGAGCACTCGAGGTGGTACTTTCAGAACGTAGCAGTGTCGGTGTATTGGTAACAGCAGCTGTAGTAGTTATTTGGTGGTGTGAATCCCCATCATCTGCGCTCGTTTTCTTTCTGTTATGTTTGTTAGGCGTGATCGAATATTTATGCTTGCATGCATAAACATAATCGGGTCAGTGTAATACCCGATCTTCGGTGTAGTCACGCTCGCATAGCTCGGTGCGCTTCTCAGTCGTTTAGTTGAATGACAGCCGTTTACTCTTCTTCGTTAATAAGACGCTCCAGATAAGTAGAGCCGATAATTGAAGCTACCTCTTTGTATATTGATAATAAAATTCCAATATTTATTTCCATATATAAATATTTGAATACTGCCTCATTATTTTCTAAGCCTGAATTATTCTCACAAGACTAAGAGCAATTCAAGTGGATTCTCGGCTGTGGGGGTTACCCTTTGCGTGAAGATACGATGCATTAAGCACACTATCTCTAGTATATGCCTATCTCTATCATTATAAGCTCTATGATCACAGACGTTCCTCATTAAGCTACTGTGCAAAAATTACAGGGATTGATATCTTGTTTGGAAGACAGCGTAGTAGCTCATCTTCGGAGTCTCCCTCAAATTGGCTCCAACTTTGAAGTAGCTTAGAACATCCTTCTGCATAGCTCCGATAACCAGGGAGTCAAGCTGGTTGACCATCTTACTGGATTGTTCTCCATGTCCGCAATTGCTTCTCGCTCTGTTCTCGCGATCACACGACTGTTGGAGACAGACAAACAAGCTAGCCGGTCGCTGACTGTACTGGGATGATCTATCAGTCACTGGGATGAGTGATTGGTATGTGACGAGAGCAGGCCGTGCGCCGGTCTCTCGTCCGCGTTTCTCCCTCCCCCACTCGGCTAGGCGCGGTGGCCAACGTTAGGCGCATTAAAGTATGCGTCTAACACTTGGCCTTTTGTTTCAGCGCCAAGGACGAGCCAGCGCAGTTGAGCGCAAAAAAAGTTGAAGAGCGCGGAGAGAGAGTGAGAAAGAGAGAGAGAGAGAGAGAGAGTATTAGGCCTATGCAGGGATTGGCAGGCGCGCAACGCGTGACCGATAAGCGACGCGTCGCGTGCCGCCTAACTAATAGGTCAAGGTAGGGAGAGGAGCGAGCGCCGCTGAACGGTTGCAAGATGCGCGCAAGAATTAGTGCGTGAGAGAGTCGCAGCCGAGTCTTACGAGAGTGAGGGAGTCTAAGCCTAGTCCTACGAGAGTGCGGAAGTCCGAGCCCAGCAGAGAGAGCAGTTTGGGATAGCCGGGAGGAAGGAAGATCAACCCTTCCGGCAACGGCTTTGCCAGCAACTGCAGTCAGCCCACCTGCCAAGAGAGTCAACGTCGCCTACGGATACCTGGTCAGCGACAGCGGTTAGCGACGATCTGACCAGCGACGACGCCCGGTACTTCCTGCGGCAGCGCATCGCTCAGGATTCCCGACGTTGCGAGGAACAGGAGAATAAAGGTCAAGCCTTCCTTTTCTTCTTTCTCTCTACACTCTCTCTCTCTGTTGATGCGACGACCGGTGCGCGTGGAAAGAGATAGCCTGGCACTCACGTGCCGGCTATCTGAAGGTTCGCGCTAGGTTTAATTCATAGTGACGTAAGTTGCGACCGGTGAATTGTCCAGGCGCCCACGTGCCGGGCAATTTGCCCGGTATGAGTCCGCGTAGTTTTTAAGTAAGTTTGTAATAGGTTAAGTACGCGATTAAGTATTAGTGAAATGCGAAATGTTCATTTGTGATTATCTTAAGTAGTTTATTGTTCGATTTGTAGTTTGTTGGTGAGTAATTTAGATTATGTTATGCGCGCATATGTTCAGTGTGAATAATTATTAATAATAATAGGTTGTAAGTGAGATTTGATTCCTGTCTGTGTATAATTTATTTATCAACCTCCCCTCGTTCTTCTCTCTCAATTGTCATGAGCGAAAGTGCCTCACTTACCCCGCAAAAGAATTGGTAACAAAGGATCAAGTTTTGTTACAGGTACAGCTAGTCGAGATGAGGCTGGACGTCCATATCCGTGAAGACTCGGAGAAATCCATCGAGTACTTCCACCACCATCCATCGAGATTCATCCACTTTCTCCCAGTATGCAAATCTGAAGAACTTTCTCGAGCACCAATTAAAGATGTTTCAATCCTCAAGATCAGTTAACATTACTCCCCCAGATAACCGAAACGCAATGCCAAGTAAATTATCTCGCGCTCGTACGACTCCGATGGCGGAAGGTGTAAGGCCCGGCGTGAAGCGAAGCAAATTTTCTTGCCAGATCCGCCAAGGTTAGCATATCATTTAGGAACACCCGGCAAGAGTAACGATGGAAGTTAGTGCGACAATTGTATCTCTGTTACAATTGTCTCTATGGAGGCCATAAGGCGAGTAACTGTCTGTATTCTTACCACTGCACTAGAGGAGCTACCTTTTGCGATTCCAAAGTATTAGTAGAAGGGCCGCATTGATTGAATTATAGATGCTGATGTCTACCGCGTCCTTTCATTACGCCGCTTTCATTAAGAAATTTGAGGAGATAGGTTGTTCAATAGCTGAAGAATTTCGCCTTCCAAATCCCGGCGTAAATAATAAGTAAATAAAGTCGTGGGCAAATTTTATGGTAAAACCAACTCTCTCTTTACAGTTTATGTATACTTATATAATTGGTATAGATCCCGAGCGTGCGAAGGAAGGGAGCGCGTGTTCTCTCTGTCTCAGCGTGGCTTGATGGTGCACGCGGAGCAGGGAAGCGCATACCATCTATAGTTCTGGCTCACCACGGCTTGGGACCATTTTCTATATACGAGGGTGGTCCGATAAGTACTTAGCCTTACCGCCCGATGGCGCCAATCTCGCTAAAGAAATATTCTATCACGTAGTACAACCTTCTAGATGGTTACTGTCAAGATTTCAGCCGGATCGGAGCGTGTGAAAGCAAGTGTGTCCGTTGATTTTTGAAAAATGGAAAAAGAGCAGTATTGGTCGGTGATTCGATTCTTGTTTTTGGAAGGGAAATCGCGCAGCGAAATGAAAAAGTGCTTGGATGCTGTGTATGGTGACTATTCTCCTTCGATGGCGACCGTCAAAAATTGGTTTAACGAGTTTCAACGTGGTCGCATGTCGATTTTTGAAGAGCCACATCCAGGTGCTCCGAAAACGGCTACCCCGAAGGATAACGTGACAAAAATTCACGATCTCGTATTGGCAGATCGATGATTGAAGGTGCGCGAGATAGCTAAGATCGTAGGCATCTCAAAAGACCGGGTGGGTCATGTCCTGCATGAAAGTTTGGGCATGAGAAAGCTGTCGGCGCAATGGGTGCCGCGTTTGCTCACTCCGGACAACAAGCGCAACTGTAAAACAACTTCAGAGCAATGTCTGACGCTGTTTAAGCGTAATCCGAAGGAGTTTCTGCGTCGTTTCCTGACAGTCCACGAAACATGGATCAATTGGTATACACCAGAGACCAAGGAACAGTCGAAACAGTGGACTTTACCCGGCGAATGTGCTCCGAAGAAGGTGAAGACTGCCCTATCGGTCGGAAAGCTTATCTACTCAGTATTACTAGTAATGTTGTAGTAAATTATAATGCTAATGATAATTTGCTTGAATAATAAGAATCGTGAGTCTTGGATTAACAATCGTATGCCTAAAACTAAAAACTATAATAATAATCCTTAATTTACTGTGATTATAACTTTACTATATCAACTTACATACATAGGCATTTGCGCATGCGCGCGCGCGCTTCCCTCGCATAGTTGGTGGTAAAGTAGTGGATGGTAGCTCCCGACGATCCTACAGAGTGGTTCTTTGATCTAATCGCGACCCCCAAAGCCCCTCCCCTTCCTTATCAGTAAATAATATAATAATAAATATTATTATATAGACTGTCAAGATAGATTCTCCTATAGAGGTTGGAAAGATAGGACGCTGTAGAAGTTAGTAGGGCGCTTGGTAAGCTATATGCTGGATAGGTGAGGGTTTTCGGAGAGGGAGAAGCATCTCTATCTTACTAAGCTAGGCGCGTACACTGTATAGCGTCGATGCTGCTTTCTCTCTCTCTCTCTCTCTCTCTCTCTCTCTCTCTCTCTCTCTCTCTCTCTCCCGATTTTGGAAACCTTTTAACCACTCGCA